TACGTAAATCTGTATACATCAATATCAAAATAATTACGCTCATTGAATATCATCTAACATTCCAAGAGGTCGAATATCAAACTGTAGTTCTTTATTCAATAGTACTAATGAATTAAATTATCTTTCGATCCAGGATAGATAAACCGTTTCCCAAAATCTTTCGCCGGTTTGTTATTAAAATCAATCACAAGAAGCACTCGAGAAATGATTTATAGATTAGGCATCATTCACAGTTATATAATGAGTCTATATGAATACACAGATTAGAAAAAGGTCTAATTTTATTTTCTATTTTACTGTAAAATATTGACTGGCGTTTAATGATGATTCCACTGTCATTCAAGTTAAAAATTATCCCAATATATCCCAAAATCTACCCAATAAAATAGTCATCTATGATTTTATTAAAAATTCCCTTCGCAATTCTGACGGTTCAAGCAATCATGCCAGTGAAGCTATTACTAAATAAGTTAACTATAAGCTAGTCATACATCTAAACACACTCATAAAAATCAACATCTACCGTATTAGCATAAAAACACATAAAAATATTTGCATCCACTTCACACTGTAAAAAGCACCAATAACATATACTACCTAAGCGAAAATAGGAAGAAACACCAAATAGAAAATTATGCAGGAAAAAAATATTTCTTCGACAACCTTTAACCTTTGACTGTGCATATCTTAATGCTGTGTTACGTGCAGTAAGATGAACAAAAAATTTCATCACTAACCAAAAAAATTGTCAGTCAGGCTCATTAAAGTATAACCGAAGAATGACAAGGTACAAATAGTTCTTGTATTTTTTATCCAATAGTATACCGCATTTTTCTGCCGTGTTACAGACAACCCAATCTCCATCCCGACTGTTTATTTGTGTAATAAAGTATAAAACAAAAGTTAAGTAATTTTTATAATGGTAAAGTATGTCATGCATGCATTGCAAACATTGAAACGGGCATCAACATAATCACACTTGCATGCGGTGGCAGGAGGAGACGGCCAATGCATGTCGCCGTGAATGTTTGCGTTCGTCCCAGGCCTTGGGATGAAGAAGGAACATATGGGTACGATGACTTCGGTGTTTCAAACTTAAGCGATACGATTACCTGTGCCCAGCACATGAAAAATGCGCACAGTTACTGCCTGTACTTCTGACGTATAATTCATATTAAAATATTTCGTATTATGCGGACGCAAATTTATCTACGAGTATGTGCTCGTACTTGCTTTAAAACAATTAAATGAAATTATTTTCATTGCGTACCCTATGTATTAAATTACAGACACTATGATAAAGAAGATCCTATTGTTGGTAAAATTAGGTTATATATTAAAATCTTTTATGTAACATTTATGTAGAGTCGCATAGAGAACGCGAAGATTAACAGGTGACGCCCATTCTCACCTGCTGGTAGGCACATGCAAGGATCCAGAACTCCACTAGGGGTCAGCTTACATTCCGCTTGGTGATAGGGCCAAGGGGTAGAGAGCCAGTACCTGTAGGAGGGTTGCAACCAACCTTATCAAACAAACTGCAACAAAAAATAACAAAACAAAAAACAAACAAAACAAATCATAAGAAAATTGAATAACGAACCAAACTCAGTTAATTAAACAAGATAAGTAAGCTAATAAAAACATGGGAGATTATATACGTTGATAAAATAAACTAAAAATATGAGTTGATATCTGTTTTCGAATTAACTATGGCCCATGCATTTTAATTTTGATGATTAAACAAGGAATACAAATTAGTAACATTGGTTCTAAGGAAAATTCATAACAACTAACAATCAATCCGAGATTGAAAAATTAATATTGATAAAAAATAAACAGTATAAAACAGAAAAAAAATTAAGAAACCAAGGAAGAAGGGTGCGAATAGGAAACGGTAATGTGATTCGTTTATATATATTTTCAATCCAGTCATTCTTATCTACTAGCATTCCAAAATTGAATCTTACACAACCGTTGTAAAATCAGTTAAAAATAATAATTCTAGTTTGTTTAAATAAAGTGTTTGAAACATTTTGGTAATATAGTGTAAAGCGCCCCCCCACGCTGTGATACCAAAAATATGACTGCTTTGAATTTAATTTTCTCCTAAGAAAAATACAATGTTTCAGCGAAGCGAGCAGAATGCGAAAGAATTCGCTCATTCACTGCAGATGTGTATTCGGAATGGGCACGATGATCAAACGATCCACAACATAATTAATTGGATCTCAATGTTGATAAATAAAAGTAACTTCAAAACGACACTGTATATTCCTGTCTGATTATGAGCCTCGTAGAAGTGACCAAGTTCAGCTCCAGTTCGAAAAAGCGCTTTTCACCTACCGTCGAAATTGGAAACCTCGTTAAACCTGTCCTGAGACAAAAAATAGATCTAGTAAAAAATGTGAGATCTATGGAGAAAACTAAAGATTTACCACATCTAAGTGATAAACACTGCTAATTCACCAAAACTAAAGAAATGGCTTTGCCGATGGCAAGTTCTGCAAGTTCGATTCAACTAATAAGCTGAAACTTCCTAACGAAGAAAATAACAATTTTTGAACTTTGTCGTCAAATTGTCGCCCCCTCTCACCCTCCCATTCGGGACTTCCGCGGTCAATAAGCAGATGAAAGAAGGAACAGAAGGAGACTCACGAGCGCCGACCGATGGGCGGCGTGTAGACCGGGGTCTTTGCGGACTGCGTTTCATGGTGCTGATGCTGTCGACATTCGGAGGGGTGGTGACGGTGGGGAAGGCGCCCGCTGCGTTGAGTAGGCGACCCCCGTTGCGGCGCCGCTGCCCAACTCCGACAGCAGCTTGTGTTCGTCCTTTATGCTGCCACTTGCTCCGACCAGATCTGCGCACACAGCGCCCACAACCGTTAACGATTCGCCCTCGCAGGTCGCACGCCCGCGCCGATGGCGCGGTTCGGCGCGCGCGGCGCTCTCCACCACAAAAGGGGCGTTCAACCCCCCTCCCTTGGGTAAGCAACAAATAAACCCGGGCAGACTCAAAAACATTGGACGCGAGTTTCCAAGGAAAGAAAATTCCTGGATCTTTATTGTGTCTCTTGAGCCTACACAATAAATAATTCGTATGATTTATCATAATCTGAATAATCCAAGTGAAATCCAGGGGTACTCAAAAATTGACGCCATTCCTGCAAGGAAAGAAAATTCGGGATCTTATAGTGTGACATTGACCTACACAATAAATAACGATGGTGATTTATCGTTAATTGAATAATTCCCGACCATGGTTGTCTTTAAATATCGACAACATGGACACTTTTTAAAAACTAACGTTTACTACAGTAAGTAACCTTTTTACATAGGGATTGCTCCTTAAATATTCCTACAAAACACGTCGTTATCTTAAAACGTTATTGAGGAAAATCCAAGTCCGTTTCACGTTTAATATTTTATTTTTTTAAAAGTAGTAGACTTCTTCGCTATTTCCGGGCGACAGTTCAATATTCTGTGATGCATAAGAAACCGCGTTGCATTGTGTACTTAGTGGGGTGAATATCAACCCACAAAAAACGCTGCGGGGACGACTTTTCTGTTTCGAGTGGCATTTTCCCGGCTCCCAGGAGTCAAAAACTTTTCGCTATCTCTCTTTTTATTTCCAATCGCATCGCAGCGCATATGCAAGTTACGCAGTATTTGAACCCTGGTTCCGAAGCAAGTATAAAGAAATATAGATTCTCCGAAACAAAAATGTTCGACGAAGAAACAGTTGGCCATTCAATTTTATGCAAATGAATTATGTCTACATAATCTTCGTTGCCAGTTTTAATTAAAGGACATCTGTATTTACTATATAAAATCTATTGTTTCCAAAATATTTGACATGCTTTGATTGATTTACACCCACATAATTTTATTTTTCTCAATTCTGACAGTTAATTGACGAATAATTTTATATCGCTGAAAGAAAAAAAGTATTTTGAATAAAATTAATACTTACATTCGAAAATACTGATCACCATGTACTGTGTTCGCTGTCGTTTGATTTCGTCTTCTGTGTGTGCCGTGAGGTCTCGATTTTCATCTGAAAAATAACAAGAGAAGCGCCCGATATGAAAAAAAGCAAATATTTGAATTCAAAAAATACATGAATAGCTAAATAGCATGAGTATTTTTCAATTTGCCTTTACATACTGAGAGAATAGAGGAAATGTATTAAGAGGATAAAAATTAAGTTGTGTATTTACCAATATTAATTAATTCATTTTAATTAATTTATTTGCACTCTTTCGGTCGAGGATTCTTTCGAACGAATTGCTCTGACTTAGAATCAAGAGCAACAAAATTTTCAGAGAAATCCACTTGTTATTCAAAGGCTGGAGTAAAAAGTTAGTACGTTGTCGACGGAAGAAAAAAAACGCTCAAACGCAATATGTGTTTACCCTGTCGCAAAAACACATTTTTGAGACGCTGAAAACAATTAAATCAAAACACCTACAATGAAAAACTGATAATTTTGATTACATGCTTACATCTGTAGCTCCTCTATTGTTACAATTGAAGTGTTGCCTCTGATGATTGTGTGTAGAGAGATAGAGAGAGAGATGAGAGAGGAGAGAGAAAAGAAATAACAGAAGAAAAGAAATAAGAAAAGAAAAAAAAAAAAAGAGAAAAAATAATTTTAAGATAAGCTTAAATGGGAGATGATGCATTCTTAAATGATAAAAATATACTTGACCTCTAGAGTTCAAATGGCGAAAACATTGTTCGGTTTGGTTATGATAGTATTATTTTATTGTTGTGCGAAAAAAACCCAACAACATCGAGATATGTGTAAACGCATAAATGAATTAATTTAAGTTGCCAGATGAATTAAAATGCGTAAGCTTATTAGTATTAGGTGTTACACCAGCATGCAGTTGTTTCAGAGATTTAAATCCTTGTTGACGAAAGTTTCTCAAACTGAATCGTATTTTTTTAAAGATTCGTTCAATATGGTATTTATACTTTGTGGGATTTTTTTTCAGAACTAAACAATAAGTTTACATTCTTTAATAAATTAGATATCATATTCAATTATGTTAGCTGATTATTCCCAATTTCCTTCAAAATTTCGTAACAAATATCCACCTCAAAACAACGCTTTATCTCCGCGCATTTGTTCTCGCTTGCACCCATCCTGCTCGTTCGAGAAGCGAGCCTCTCTTGAAATACCCATTCAAGCCACCTCAAATGCGTCGAATCATTCGCAGCGTGCAGGGGGCAGATTCGGAAGCGCGCGGTCAACCGGTAGCCGCTCCGCCGTTCCCCCCTAACGAGCCGCTAATGCCCACGAATCGTCACCGTTGGCGGTTCGAGTGCCCATTCGACCGCCCGGCGCTCGACACGTCGAGATAAGCGCCTCTGAGACGCGCGCTCGCGCCGCGCGCGCCGCCCCGCCGCCGCGCGCTCGCCTGTTTGTGAACCACTTTCTCCGGCTGTAAGCCCTCGACGCGGGCACCGCTCGCAGATGCCAAAATGGAATTGAACGTATTATCTAAATGTGCGTGCGTCTGTTGACCTCTCTAGAGGATGATATCCTTACCCGTCGGCGGAATGACAGGCGAACAAAGCCCTAAAATGAATTAGCAACAGTTTCGCGGCGCGATTTCTTTTTCAGGAATTACTCTGGTTTCGAATTTTGCGCGCTCATAATTCCAATATAGTCTTTGACCTCCGAGAGCGTTCGCTACCGTTCGCTGCGCGCGGCTCTGTTGTCGCGAGAGCCTTCCCTGTGAAGCGTCCTGCCGGCCGCCCCCCCGCGCCGCCCCGCCCCGCGCTACCCGCGGCGCCCGCAATCTTCCCGCCCCCGCCCGCGGGGGCGGCTTCACCCGCCGGTCAGCCAATGGCCGAGCGGCGCACTTTTTCTTGCGGGGAGCGGGTCGGGGCTGAACTGCGATTGTCGTTCCTTACGAGCCGCTGGCCCGTGTTCCCGGATAGAGCCACATTCATCATTGTAGCCGAGATAATTAAACCGTCCAATGATGCCCGTTTCTATTTAGTTGCTATCATGTAGCATACAAAGCTCCCGCGGGCGCCCTCCGATCCCTGCGGGCTAAAATGTTTGCATGGACCTAACACTGATGGTCACTGTTATTTGGTTCCCTTCCCCTTTCGCCCCGCACTCTCCGCCGCCGCCGCCGCCGCCGCCGCCCTCCTCACTCCACCGCCGGTAACTGCGCGGCGCAAGAGAAAATCACACCAGTAGTGGCCTCAATAGATTGCAATGTCTCCCATAGGAAGCACGCTCACACTCGCCCTCGCACACCAACACTCCCGCGCTCAGACGGACTGGGATGAGGCTATCCAATTAAAATAATGCACCAACAAGTGTACGGCCTACTGCTGGCGCTGCAAACACAACGAAACGTCCCCTCTCCGACCGCTCACATACACAGACGCGCAGACGCCTGCCTCCCCCGCGGCCCCGGCCTCACCCCCGCGCCGCGCGCGTCGCCCTTTCCCGCAGCCGCCCTCCCCGCCCCTCCGCTCTTCCTCCCGCGCTCGCCGCGCCCCTTCTCCACCGCCCCGGCCGCCCTTCGGCCCCCGGTCGCCGCCGCCGCCACTGTCGCGTTTCAATTGCCCAGCGACATTCTGATGTCCGCTTGGGCCCGAATACCGGCTGCAAAATTGTGATTAGATTGTTGCTGAATCCCCACAGAGTTTGATAGCGGGTGGGGCGAGCGGAGGAGGACGAGCGCGGGGCGGCGAGGGGAGCCAGAGGTGGCGCCGGGGGAGGGAAATTGGATTACGAGTGTTGAGCTCGCATTATATGATGATGATCGAGTGGGATTTTATTGGGGGAGTGTTTTGAAGGGGCGCGAGCAACGTGGGTGGGGGTGACGTGGGTAGAGGGAGGACAGAGTGCCGGCGGGGTGCGAGGAAAGAGGCCAGTGTGTGGCTCGTATGAGAGGTATTGCGGGCGGGGGAAGAAGGGTGAAGGATGATATATGTATAGTGTAAAGGTATACACAAAGCTATTTTAAAAATATCGGCCGAGAGGAAGAGGGAAAAGAACATATGCCAGTTTGAAATTCGCGCTGTAAAAATATCTGCCTGGACTTTCATTGTCAGCAAAAAATTGAAAAAATATGCTGAGTGAGAAGTTCTGTATCTAAACCCCCATCTAGCATCCTTTTATTCTTCATCCTCTCTCTGAAATTTACACAGTAATGGATTCAATATCCGGGCTTATCAAATTAAAATTCGGTATTACTTAGCTATAAATCGCCCCCGATATAACAGTGTGTGATAAAAAGAACAGATGACAGGCCGAAATGGGAAAATGCCTTTCATTGTTATGAATTACACGAACACGAGATATTCAATTGAACTCTTAACAAGGAGAGAAATATTGGAGTCTGCAGATTCTAGCCGTTAATTAATTTTTATGAAATTGGAAATCTGTTTTTAAATGACCACCAAGATAGAATCGAAAAAATTCCAAGGGACTTTCCCCGTCGTATTTCTTTGCCGAGTAGCATTCGTGGCAAACGAAGGGGAGAGGAAAGGAAAAACAAAGCACTTCAAACCGATTTTGATGAACACATTTTCTCCAACGAACTCTGTGCCAGCGCGAAACAAAGGCAGACACATAACAGGAACTAAATTAATGAATTATATAAAAAAAAGACATAATGAACGATTGACATTCTCTCCAACACCCGCCAGGAAAAAAGGGAACCCGAATTAATCAAAACCATCCCGAAAGGGAGTCTGCGAGACACGTGACGTGTAAGTGTGCACGTGCGAGCGGAGGCGCGGCCGGCGCCGGCGTTGGCTGCGACGCTAATGGCGACGGCGCGCGGCGCGGCGCGGCGAGGAGGGGCGGAGTTTCGATTGGGTTTTAATAATGCTGATGATGTTGTTGAGTACTTCCCTGGCGCCCGGGGTGCTGGGGCCGAGGAAAAGGACCTGGGGGGGGAAAGGACGGCGGGCGAGCATTCGCAGCCTATCAGATATCGGGACGCTCATCCTCCGCCCCGCTAGGCTCTCGCGCGGTGATGCGCGTCGCAGATAGCCGCGCCATCCGTCAAACCGGCGTGCGAGCGGGTCCGCCGCCGCGCCGCCGCCGCCGCCGCCGCCTCGCGTTTATTAATTTGATGCTCTCGCGCGCGCGCGCAGCGTCAGCGCCACGCGGAGGGCGGGGGCACTTGTCCCCCTCCGCTGTCCCCCCTTCGGCACGGTCGCGTTGTCGAATCCCATGGTCCGACGCTGACTATTCATCCCCTGCAGACTGGGTACGCGACTGTTTCACACGCTTGTTTGGGATTCGCGGTTGGGGACCGTAACTGGTGATGTGGAGTTTTTCTGCAGTAAATCAGCCGGGAAGGGCGTTAGATAATGCGAATGAAATAATTCCAGTTTATGTCAATATATTATAGACATATTATGTATATGTAGTTTTAGAAAATATTAGTTCGAAAATAATTCCAATAATTACAAGGCGAACGTGTACTATCCTCGCCATGTTAGAAATAACGGAACCGTGCCTACTAAATGTTCGTGGTATGTGAATCCATCTTCTTGTCATGTTGAGTTTATAAGTAATATTAACAATTATCGGAGAAAATATGTATTACAATTTTAGGCTAAAAATAGTGAAGTCGAATAAGATCAATAGAAATCGTGCAAACTAGAGAAAGTTTGTATTTTGAATAATATATTAATCTTCGCAGATAATTCGACAAATAGAAAATTCTGTTCTAGTAAAAAGGATTTCATTATAACATAGCGTACGTATTTCGAAGATTATGGCGACTGATTTTTGGTGCCGAGTGAAAGCTGTGCTGTTATTTGCCTTTTCCTCCTTTCTAACCATGCCTGTTTCACAGTGGGACTAGAATTCGCGCCACTCCAGAGAAAGTTTTGTATATTTTGCAGTCACTTACCCTAATTCGCCGGTAATTAGCAGTTAACCTACTGTTGAAGTGTTGGCAGAGATCCGCGGTTAAAATGCTGCTCTTACCGGTTTCTCGACTTATTTGAAATTATATTTATTGTATCAAGTCGATCGCCAGCTTTACGTCAGGTTACTCACTAATGCTTTTAAAATGCAGGACTTTAAATCATTTCTATTTTCGTTTCGCACCAGTTCACGAATGACAGCGAACAACTACCTGCAATGCGGAATAAGTGAACGGATAAAACACTTTTGAGTAAACAAATGTTTAATTTCACAATTATCTTCTCTAATCGACATGAAAAGAGGGAATATTTAATTTGCGAGCATAATGTCAGAACGCGTTTGTAAGTAAAAATAGGGTAACTGCTGCAGTCGAAAACAACCACCAGTTAATAGTTGATGTTAATTTCAAAGTGTTTGTATCAAGCACTTGTGTATATCCTTGGAATTTATGAGAAATGGCATGCTGCGTGTTACGTGTACATACGCAAAGAGTCACACACCAACGAATTATGTTTCCTAAGGCCTTCTTAAAACTGCATTTCCAGCTCACAGAAATGTTGATAAGTATTTAAACGCTTGCAAATATCTCACCGCATTTCACATCACCCCATACCCTTTCACCTACTGGGGAATTCGCAGGAGAGCGCCGTCTGTGCACAGGCGCAGCGAGCAGCCGCTAAGTGGCCTGAGGCCGGGTTATCTCAGCGCGCAGGGCGCAGCGGTCGGGTCTTGAGAAGGGCGCGCCGCGAATCAATGACGTGGAAGACTGCGTCCCGCGTCGCCACCCTCGCCTCCCTCCCTCGACGCCCCCACCCCATCCCGCCGTATCTACCGCCCTCATCGCTCTCTGCGTCCTCGCAGCCCTCGCCTCCAGCGCTGTGGCGGCAGCTCCTGCATCGCCAGTCCACAAGTCGCATTCCGCCCGCTTTCCGATGCTGTCTGCTTTCTCGGTCTCGTCGGCCTCCACTTTCCTCCATCGTCAACTCATCGCCTTCTGAAGCTTCATCGCTTGAACGCATTCAGCACATCCTGCTGAGACAGTACTGTGACTCTCCGTCAACCTCTCAAACCTAATTTACCTTCATCACTTCTAATTTTATTTGCATATTTAGTTCAACCGCACTGTCATTGGCTACACCTTCCTCAGAACCATCCCTGCAGTTGATCTCTCAGCTACTATTCACTTTTTTATGTGCATTCTTGCCTTAGATCTCGCTGCATTCCCTCCTTTCTGGCTTTTCTTTTCCCGTTCCTGTCTGTTTCACCCGTCACCATCCTCGCGGCACCGCGCACGGCACCGCCTCCGTCGCCGCCGCCGCTGCCAGCGCTGCAGCCGGCGCCGCCAGCGCCATCGCGCCGCCGAGCGACAAGTCGGCAAACTTGGTGCCCACGAAGGGGAAGCTGCCACCAATCAATGAGCACATCGACCACCGCCTCCGCCGTCTCTGCGGGCGCTTTCCAGAGCTCGGGATTCTCCGCGTCCTGCATGCCCAAGTCTCTTTTTATTTGCAAATCCGGCGGAGAAGGCGAAACTGAAATCTGGGCTTGCAATCGCTGAGTCTAACACCAACGATGCGTGGGAATGCCCTTTTATTTGGGCCTTTAGAAATGTCTGTTACTACTAGTTCGACTAATAACTATAGTGACTATTCACTTCTATTTTATTATTTTGTTTATAATACCAGGTTCTTGGAACTTATTTCAATTCTATTTCTCTTGATAAAGGTGTATGCAAAAATTTTTGTTCAGCAAACCATTATAATTAGCATATCCTCTCATTCACAATAAAACAGGGCCTTGTTGAATTTTATTAACACAATTTTTATACGAATAGTGTGCAATACGTACTACTGAGAAAAATATACAAAGCTGAGGCTAACAGTGTGAGGAGAGTATAGCAGACGAGTGTTACGCTCTGCATTGTATTCTGTGAAATTTTGTGCGTAGGAAACTCTAATCATGTGATTTCGCCAGTATCAAAAACAACGTAGCAAAACTAATTCATTTGCTCCACCCTCTGGTGGAAACCACAACATGTACCTTTTTATTATCCCTCATGAAACAGCACTTCAATATCGCATAACACAAAAACCGTTTGAAAATGAAAACATTTTTGACATGCACTGCCGTACATTTAATACAGTTTGTTGCAGTCGTTTCAATGTAACAAAAACTGAATGAATTTCCATTCTGAGTGATATTTTTCAGAATAAAATTGGTTACAGGTGCATAAATGTGCTGTTGAAACACGCGTAGCTGAATGCTTATCGATTTTGCCAAAATAAAAATAAAAACCTCTCTCGCTGTAGAGAGAACGAATGATGGAGCTTTGACCTGAACGCTGTGCCAAAAAATCCCGTACTTTTACTTTCTCCGGTGACGTCTCTATTAAATTCGATACGTCTCTGACATTTTGGAAAACATTCATTTTAAAAATGTTTTTAATTTAAATTTCTGTGGGAACCCCTTTCGTAATATTCTGGAATTAACAGTTGAGAGCATTGTTCCTCGGTACCCGATAATTAGTGTTGTTTCTTCTTAAAATTATGTTTAAGACTTTGATGATATGTTTAATACGTGACATTCAGTTTTAGATATTGGTAACTAATTGATTATTTCTAAATCATGAAACTATAGTTATTATATTTAAACGCTCTTAAAAATGTTTGAAATCTTATAATTTCAACATAAATGTTTTATATATATGAGTATGAAGTGTTACAATTACCTACACATAATTTAATGTATGGTTAGCCTGTTAATTAAACATGAGAGTAATCATTACTGCCGGTTCTGTCTCAGAATTAACTTTCAATCTTCTGATATTTTATTTATTATTGAGAATACTAGAACCTCCAAATTTACATTTATTTTTGACAATTCCTGCCATCCAAAAATTTCACTTTATGATTTCTACTTAGATTCACTTTTCGAAAGAATCCGCCAGCAGCAGTTTCTCTCTCGAGCCTCATGCCGCGACCACTTCCCCCGGCAAGACCAAGTCAGAGAGTAGCCCTTGACGGAGAAGACGGTTGCTACCATCGTCGCCGCCGCCGTCGGCAACAGCGCGTGTGGCGGAGACGACGGCGGCGGCGGCGGCGGTGGCTGCCGTAACAATATGTGAGCGTGCTCAGGGCGCGTGACAAAGCGACGCCTGGCTCCCCAGCGCCACCCGCCGCCATCCCCTGGAGGCAGCAGCTTTCGCGCGCCCGCCCACGCACACACCCACGCACGCACGCATGCACGAGCGCGCGCGCTCGCACGTGCGCCCGGCCACAAAAGCAGCCGCCGAGGGGGTGGGGGTGGAGGCGGGGCGAAGGAGGCGGCGCCGCCTAGGGCGGAGGCCGTGGCGCTGGCGAGGCGACGCTGGAGGCGGTGGAGGGTGTCGGAAGACGGAAAGACAGTCGGAAGCGAAGAGCAAGCGGAGGAGATAGAAGAGAAAAACTACACTCTTGCTATGGATTTGCAACACGTTCTTGTTCCACGTACATTATAAGAACAATTAAAACCAATTGAATTTTCTTCGTAAAAATACTATAATTGGCAATTTTATAAAAAATTCTATTTTTTTATTTTATCATTCCACCGTTATTTATTAAATAAATTGATACAAATTTTATATTTTGATTTTCTTCAATAAATATTAAATTGAGACGTTCACGCGTAAAGTGCTCCAATAGCTGTACTTAAACTTACAAACGATACTTATTCTATTCCTTACTCATTTTTCCATATTTGTCGTATTTAAGGTAGTTAAGTCGTAAATCAATAATATCTTGTGTTTCATCTTCCATTAATTATCATTTACAAAATACGACAACGTACAGTGCTATTTCTTTTCAAAGATATTTCATCTTCTTTTATGCAATCACTTACGATAACCTTTATCTCCGGGCGGCCGCGATCTTCGCTGTTAAAAAAAAAATCTTCCTCAATTCGCTCGATATCGGGGCGCGACACGGCTCTTAGACGCATTAATGGAACCGCGCACAATCGAGCCTCCTCGCGCGGGGGCGGGCGGGGGCGGCTGGTCCGCGGCGCGGGGGGACGCGGGCGAGTGAGGAAGGCAATCGCGGGGAGCAGGCTCCGCGTCCGCCCCGTCGCGCCGCGCCGCGCCGCGCCGCCATCTTGAGGCAAACGGAAGAGAAAGAGGCGGCGAGCGGATTGACACACGCGGAGCGGAGGACGGAGGCATGCAGCAGCAGCAGCAGGAGGAGGAAGAGAAGCGCGAAAGAGGGGACGAGACGGGGAGGGGGAGCGGGAGGGGAGTGAAGGCATTGTGCGCATCAGGAAACGTGTGCGTTCTGCTCCAGAAGAGACGCGAGTCGGGGAAAATGAGTGCGCACAAGCAGAGAGAGGCCGTGGCGGCGACGACGTCGGCGGTGAGGGCGGCGGGGGCGGCCACGAAGGCAGTACAATATTTGAAACTATATAGAGCTTGAATGCTACAGCTCCACGGCCGAGGAGTAGCGAAACTGAGGGCCCCCTGGGGGAGCGAGGAGGGAAGTAAAGAGGCTAAACACGGATTGTGGCTTTGCGAGTGAAGAGAAACGGAGGAGGAGAGACCGTGGCGGCGGCGACGGCGGCGGCGCCGGCGTCGGTGGCGGCGGCTCGGCGACAGTGTCGGAGAGTGGCGGCGGCTGCGGCGGGCGAGCAAGGGGAGCCGGTTATATGGCAGAGTTAATGTACAGGCTACGCGTGCAGTGTAACGCTGATGCTGTCAAGGGCTAGGCCCGGCTGGGCTGGGGTTGGCTGGCCGTGCAGCTGGCAAGAGTTGAGGGGAGGAAGCCTAGAAGCCCGCTGGACCCGGCACTCAGTCTGCGCCGCGCAGCGCCACAATGAGCTGCAGTAGCGGCGCAGCGGGCCTCAACAGCTTCTTCATCAACACTCGTCTTATAAAGCTGTATCTAATCTGCGTTGAAAATTTTGCTAACTGTTGCTAAATTATCTTACTAATAGTTTTGGTGTTAATTGTTTATTTTATATACTGAATTATATAATTCACCGTTTTTGTTGAACATTGTAGAATGATTACGTACTGTTTTTCAAGGCTTTTTCATTGGTATACAATCACAGGGAATATTTCTCAAAATATTGCATTTCGAAAAGGTATTGCATGCTGAAACTCTTAAGTAATTTGAAAAGCGCTGTAACTATTATCGCAAATATTTGCAATCAATTGCAAATATGCAAATTGTGTGATAATTCTACGCAATTGAATATGAACTGTGCAATAATGTTGTTTAAATTTATTCTAACATTAGTATAAGTTTATTCTGGTCATTATACAAATATTATTTTGTAAATGATATTGCTACATTCCCGAATTATTTACGAAAACGTTTGAAATAGGCAATTGGACATATAGCTCGTAGACATCAGTCCCCATAGCTTGAGAGGTGGAGGAGGGAGAAGCAGGGGTAGAAGGACGGGGGGCGTTTGAGGGTGGTTCCGATGCGTGACGACAGAAAATAGTCGACAGCGGGTCTTACCCCGCGGAACAATGCGTTCACTCGGACGCCGAAACGATTTTTTTCAAAAAGAGAAACAGGCTACACAAAGCAGAATACAACTCCATAAAAAGCCATAAATGCTCTCCCATTCACCCTTACGTGGTTCGAAAACAAGCTTATACAGGAATTTTCGAGAAATGAAGTCTTTTTGATATTAAAGAAATTGCAATTCATATTTCTTTTATGTATTAACCTGAGTCATGATTCTGCATTCATACGTCACTTCGCAGTGCTAGCTGCAAAAATCATTAGATTAATTCGTAAGGGGTCGTGAGTAATCATTTTAATTGTGTTTATTCCCAAAATAACTAATTTAACATTTAGATCAGTGATCACAAATTAGCGGCGCCATGTATTACAATTTTATGCATGAGCTGTTGAAGTCAAAGTGAAAAACAATTTATCTCAATATCAGCAGCTTCATCGTACTTACAAGTGGAAGTGACTGTTCAACAGTTAAACTTAGTGTGACAAAACCTTCGATCTATTTTTTTCCTTATATGATTTCCTTTTTTTGTTTACTCATAACTTTTGACTTCTTAATTATATGTCATTTGTACCTTTAATTCGTTAGGAACCAATCATCTTAATCGAACGTTTAGCAAAATATTCTTAGTTAGACATGCAGAACCATTATTATTATTATTATTATTATTATTATTATTATTATTATTATTATTATTATTATTGTGCAAAGAAGCAAAGAATTAAAATTGTGAGAAAAAATGTTGCCACGATAATGATCGGGCGAAGTAAATGACATGCTAAATCACAAACAATTTCTTAACATTAGAAAACAGTGCGGCATCATAGGCCAGAGCATTGGAAAACACATAGCAGTCTTCGCAATCGCCTTCCACTTTCACCTGGAGGCGCATCTTAATTTACGAGGACGGCGGTGAAGGACCGCGCCGCTGACGCAAAGCAAAGCCATCAATATCCTTCGCTGCTCGCGTCTCTCAGCTCCGC